TGGCATCTCTAGCTACATAATCTAGGTTTCGTGTAATCAGCCACGCTCTGGAGCCTTTGAGTACATTTATCCCAGCTGCAGCTTACCGGCTGCCAAATTTGCAGTACGTTGTCTTCGGAAGCGGACGCGATAGCCTACAAGAATCAGCCACAGAGCCACACTGACCGACAAGCTGCAGTTGGCAGCCTCTTCTAAACAAGGCGCAATAAGAGCTTTGGCCTATGGAGTGCTCCTACCCATGGGAACTTATCCTCGATTGGGTTCCAGTCAATCTCCGTGATGCCCGCGACGTGGCCCCCATGAACAAAAATTACTTCTGGAGCTCCTTCTTCCGCTTCCTCTGGCGACTGCTCGGCGCCAATCAGTGAACAGTCAAAAATGCGGACGTAACGGTCAGTTGCACCTAAAACAATTGTAGTCAAAGGAAGTTCTTATTCTCAGGCAAGGTGTCATGAGTCCACACTCCCCTGCTACTGGTACACAAGGCACAGATTTCAGAAGCAGAGAAGCACTGGAAAGTGACATACAAGTGTACCTGCTGCGAGCACGGCCTTGTTTTGTGGATGCCACTTGAGACTTGTTAGTGCCTCATCCTCTAGATATAAAAGCCGGTGAGCTGGTCGGCGGAGGTCTCGAAAGTCCCAGACACTGAGTCCCTGAGCACACCAAAAAGAGCCCCATCGTCCAATATGTCTTAGACACAGTGATGAATGAATTGTCTCAGTCTTGTCAGAAACAAGTAGATGGAGACACGTAAGCAATGACCACTTCGAACACGTAAAGAAGTCCCTCGTGAGGGCATACGAACCGCGTCAGCTCCTCCAGTCGCAAAAACATTTGGGGCCACGGGGTTCAAAGCCAAAACGTTCGCACACGCGTTGTTGCAGCATTGCTGCAAAACGCATACAGCTGGGACAGGACTGATGCGCATGGGATGGCGTGTGGACAGCTGATATGCTGAAGAGTGCACTTTCACTACGAAGAATAGCATATTTGAATACTAGATAAATATCCTAAACAACTGCTTTTGCCTCCCATCCAAAACTGCTTACTCGGTGAACAGGCGACGCGCCCGCACGTAAGTCCCAGCTTGAAGGCAGCAGCAAACAAAAACGAATTCGAATGCCCACATCCAGAGCAATAACTCCACAAAACGAAGACTTGGGCTTTCCAACTGTGACTACAGTAGAGGGGAGGAACGCCTTCTGGCATCTTACATGTTCAGCTGCCCATCGTCACCGACGGCCACGATGACTTCTCCCGCGCCATCCCCGCGTTTCCATGCCACGTCCTACCAACAAAATCGTTCACACTCACGCAGCAACACTCCCGCGTATAGAAATGTGGCGCGTCCGGCCTGCGCAGAGCAAGTGTTGCAGCTCCGCCGGATTCAGCACCCTATTCAATCTGCACCTGCAACGGTCTGCGGTCACTCGAGGCCATCAAGCAGTGAACAGGACCCAAACGTTTCTCTTTTCCACCTGAAACAAATGCAACATGATATTAGAGTGATGTTCAATGAAGCAGAGAAAATCCCCGTACAAAAAGATCTGTGCCTACCTGGAGTGTGGAGTACCCATCGGCCGTGTAGCTCCTAATGTAGGGCAATCGCCGCACAAAACTACATTCAACATGTGCAAAAAGCACACAAGAGGCGTAGCTACTCGAAAGACTCACAAGACGACCTCGTGTCCCAAATACAAACAAGTCCATCGTCACCCGAGGAGGCAAGCCATCCCTCCCTTGTTGGGCTCCACTCCAAGCCCCAACTGAGGAGAATGCCGCAAGTACATTGAATCTGGCAGGAAACCTTTCGGTCCAGCTCTAAACTATCAGAGGAAACGGCTTGCCTTTCTGCAGAATTGCCTCACCCTTGCGCTGTGTGGCCCGTGAGGACAGCTTCTGCGTTTGCAGCCATCTGGCCTCGTTTTGAGGTGATTTGGCTCTCGTCAGATTCCACATCGGCTGCGCATAGTTCGGGGCCAAACTTGCAAGAGTCAAACAGGTAAACTGCACAGTTGAAAACAGCACAGAACGCCACTTCCTCGATCATGGGTTTGCGACAAGTTACCACGGCAAGGTACATTCATGCGGGCGTAGATGCAATCTTATGTACACGCAGAGCATTGCCACTATAGGGAAGGCAACATCCTTCGTCAGTAAACATGACTTCAGTCAACGTAACCCACCACAGCCATCGTTCGCTTTGCTTGCGATGAGTGTGTCATTGCCCTGAAAAACGCGAGCCCTGAGAAAAAATGCTGACAATCGGCAAGCCGAACTGCACGACGGCACACCCTACACCAGCCTTCACTGTGCCACCACCAACTGGCACCTACAGGCAATCAAGCGAACTTGAGAAGCTTCGTGAAAAGTACCTGTTGCTCTCTCCTTCATGCGGAATGCGCGCAGTTATGGTGAATTTTCGCGTGTCCTCATCGCCGAATTCAAAACCTTGGTAGTCTGCTCGACATCACTAGTTCAGTTCCAGACAGCAATGTCCTGTCGATGTAAAGAACGACCGCAGCCTCTGGCCACGGCCGCCTTTGGTTCAATATTACATGCAACGGTATAAAGAGGTGCGTTGGAAATGGAAGTTGTGAGGACTCACCTTGTCTCTGTTCATAGTGGAGCCCAGAGGCGTCAATGGGCTCGGATGGGAGGCTAACCTGCAAAGAAAGGGGTACAGAGGAAGTTAAACGCACCTACAGCACGCCCCAACGCGCTGGCAACGGCCCAAGGAAGAAGCGAAATGCTAATCGACATGAACTCACCTCCATGAGCAGTAGGTAATTTGCAGCGCCGCCACTCGTATACGTCGACAGAAGCAATGTCTGCCCTATCTCGCCGTTAGAGCGCCTGAAATAATCAAGAACCCCGGCTGTGTGCACATTTCCAAATGGAGCGCACGTGGTGCCTTTCTAGACTCGAAATAAAACGAGCAAGTAACATACAGCCCTCTCCTTTCAGCCATAATGAGCTAGTCCAATTTGCGTCCGTGAGTATCCGCTGAGCTCCCTGGATGACGTACGGATTGCACGAATGAAGCCACTGGACAGATAATGTTGGCCACTCCAGGATGTGCGACATGATGTGCTTGTACAGCAACATGCAGTTGCTCTGCCAGTTTCGATGGCTCACGCGCAGCGAGGTTGTGGGCACGCCCGCTGAGGACTTCCCCATTGCAGAAGGCAAATTGATTTTCTCCTCCTTGCTCATAGAGGTTCCAGTAGGTAACGGAGCATTTTGGAGGCCTACGGAAGCCTTCTTGTAGCGACTGCCATCATTTGACGGCGAGGAAGGGCGGGAAATTGTGGATGCTGCCACGCATGGCGTTGAATAATCAGCAGCGAACGTCACTGAGCTCCCCCGTGGGCGTCTACGATTCGCTGGCTGCGGTGGTGCACTACCTACAGCAACCGCGGACCCCCCATGCTGCTTTCCCTTTCGTTGCTTACTTCCCTCAAATTTGGTCTCACGAGTTGGCTCGCTGATAGCGTTTGAACTGCCCGACTTACGAACCGCAAGCGCGTGTTGTTTGGATGTGCCCGAGGCCGGAGGCGCAGTACTTTCAGACGAAGCTTCGGCATCCACTGCAGTGGAGGTAGGAAAAATGGGTTCTGTCTTAGTTTTCGACATACCGGGCATCAGAAAAACAAAATAAAAGCATCAATATCGTAGCGTGCTGCGCTGAGCTGTCGGGCCTGAGTAACTCGAAATAACAAGTTGCGTTGAAGCTCCAATGTGAGGGCGCTACTGCTTTCTTTGACGTAAATCACGATGTCAAGCTGTCTGCGCCTTCATATGCGCAAACAGCAGCTAATTCATTTCCAAACATGTCCGACATGGACCCTCGGGAGTGTCTTGTGTACCTCGCTAGCACCGGCATGGCAAAACTTGGATATACATGACCGGCAGCCTCTCAGCTCCCTAGACAAGGTGGAGGACGAAGTGGCTACCCACCTCTCCTTATAAAGCTTCATGCATCATAAGCCCAGCAGATCCCCAGCTCCTCTACAAGCAGTGGATGTTCCACGAAGTAAACTGTCGTGGTGCCCTACTCACCACAGTGCTCAGGGAAACCGAGTCACGCCAACAGCCGTTAAATAAATTCAAAAGTGAAAAATGAAACATAAGTCGTAATTGATTAATGCTGACTCTTTAAAGACGCAGACAATGAAGGGTCCCTAGGACCCGACGCATGCAGTGCCAGACTACATAACCAGCTACTCTCAGAGCGCAGATACAATAAGCACTCGTCTACAATAGTGCTCATCAAGCTTCCTCTGTCTCGGCAAAGCTAAAAATTTTATTGAAGATACGTTTCGTGGCGTCTTAGCCCTGGAGTCACCTCCACGTATCTCCCCGCAGGTTAGTGTGTATGCGACTCCCTGTAGAACGCTGAAGCACGACTTGGGCAGTCCTTGTACGGTGTCTCTACGTGTTCCAGTGCGTACGACTAGCTACAACACGAACCATCCTAAATTGCATTGTTCAACACTTCAGATTTCTTACACATGGCGCCACTGCCGCGTGCACGTAGTAATCATCCCGAGCTGTTCAACGCTTCGCCTAAAGGGGGCGCCACTGCCTTGTAGACCTTCTCCCAGCAAACTCTTGCTTACACGCACACATGCAAACTCCGCTGGAGTTAATTAAGCTACATGCAACTAGCCACCGGGAGCTCGAATTGTCCTGAGTTTCCCCCCTCCTACCAAATGCAGCTCTTGGGGGCGCCGATGTAACCATGCTCCAATAAAGAAAAGCCATCGAAGTACTCTTCAAAATTGCATGCAGCGTTCACAAAAAAAAAAAACGGTGGATTTACTACGGCAGGCAACTCATCTTCAACACTGCGCGTGGATGAGCAGTGCAACTCATTCGACGCTGTGCAATTTGCACTCAGTGCAAATGCAATAAATCGGTTCTGTCCATATTGTTTCGGTGACCTGCTAAGGCCACAAGTGCATCTGCCACATGTAGTCAACCCTTCAAACAATTCAGTCGGCAGCTTTTGAATCTGGCAAAGTAAATGTTGGTATGCGTGAAGTCCACGCCGATGGATTGTGCAGCCCTGTCGTGTGCGACGCCCTAGCCCCAGCCGCCCACTTTGCCCATTTTTCCTTGGACGGGGCGACAGCTTCTACGAACTCCGAGAAGCCCCTATGGAAAGACTGCGCCTATATGTCGAAACAGCCTCGCAACACACAATAATCAAATGACTGAAACGCACTTGCCATCCTTTCGCCTAGCTACAAGCGCCTGCCCAGAACCAGATACTTGAAGTGGAAATATGCGCCAAATACTTACCAGTCGACGCAGCTCAGCCTGCGTTGCTACGGGCAACATGTCCCCAAGAAGCAATCGTCTAGGAGACGGCAGCTCTTGAGATGTCGTGTGCATGTCTTCTGACGCTTTCGAGAGGCCAGCTGGCTCTACAGGTTTCATGCGGGACTGCCAGCTGGCAAACGCAACTGCCGAACTCGGCAGCACGAGTCCACCTAGCACGAGGAACTTGAAAGCACTTATGCGGGAAGTTAGAGCATCAGGCCGGCGAATCTGGTAGGCGATGTCCGAGTAACGGAGTGCTACCACACGTTCTATTGACCTAGCCACCCGCCATCCCCAGATGCACGTCAGGACGCCGGCTGCTAGCGGCAAATACTTCAGCGGGTGTGCTGTTTGCGGGTCTGGGGCTGACTGGCTTTCACTAGATCCCTCATTCGCTTGCCTTTCGGCCCTAACTCCAATCGATTGGACGAGTTGAGCCAACGAAAACAGCTGCTCTCCTATGCGAGCGACAAAAGGCCTTTCCTTGCTGTCACCCTTAGCGCAAGCATATTCTGCCTCTCCAGATACTTTTGATTGGCGCGAAAAGTGGAGAGGCTCCAAGAGGGAATCGAAATCGTCGTGGCTTTGGCTTGTCCCCTTGGCATCGTCCCTGTCCGCTTGCGTTTCACAGTAAGTCGTTGGCCCTTGTTGGCTCCCCAGGGCCATTGTAGAGTGGCGTAGCGAGAAGAAAGTGCCACCAGCCGCAAGATAGCGCCAAGCTTGAGACAACGTGTTTAGTCGCACTGTTCCGTGGCTGCGAGCAGCAGCGCTCCCACAAACTATGTCTAAGCTTCGAACAAATGTTGCAGCAGCCAATAAATGGCCGTTACCTTGAGGGCTTGTTGCTAGTGAGGCTCCGGAAAAGCGTCTGGGCCTGGACGTAGTGTGAACAATAAGCAGTCAAGCAGTTACACACTGATGCAGCGATCGAGGGCGTCCAGCGGCAAGAGACGCGGCTACAAGTTGAATAGGGAAGCTTATGCTAACGTCGCAAATTCAATATAACACGCAGGATACTGATGTTCAGGCGGCGTAGTTTGGAGCCCACAGATGCATGCGCTCCCTAGAGGGCCACCTTTGGAGTGCACCGCCGCTTAGAACTTTTGATAGTGTTCCGTTACTATGCATACATGTTTTGCATCAGACCTGCTGTGTTATATAGCGCATTTTGACGGTAATTTCGGCTGTGAGGCGTAGCTCCATACGCCACTGCGCTAGCACTTTCTGCGGAGCCATCCGTTACAACCTGACGTTCAGAAACCGGCATCAACTTGCCGTGAATACCATTTAAGGTACATTTCAGTAGGGCCTTCCTCATGAAGCGTTTCTGGAATCTATCACGCGGACCAGCTAGGGCCGTAGCTCCCACGGAGGACACACACCTGGGTAGAAGGCCTCCTGAGGGCGTTTACCGCTGTTTTATTTCACTGGAAATAAACAAGAAATAAACTGTTGGAGGTCTATAGAAGAGATATGCGTGCTGTAGACACTGGTATCCCGAAGCTTTGTGCCTTCCTGTGGGGCGTATTGTCACAATCATGACGGAACCCCATGCAGCGGCCGACGTGCGTCTTACAGAGGTTGTTCTATCCATTTACATTTCTTTACAGATATACGGGCGCCTCTTCATTGCTGAAGACTTGGAGTTGCTCCAGCCGAATCGCCCGTGGTATCTGGCCCCGTAGCCAGGGTTTCGGTTTCTTCGCGATAGCTGAAGTTCAAACAACATGAAGACTTCCAACGCGCTGATTCAACAATTGCTGAGGGCGGAGGAGGAAGCCGAGCAGATAGTACACAAAGCAAGAGAAAGTAAGGTTTAAACGGACTTAGATTCACAGCAAACTGTCAGTGGAAGTGGAACACTTTGCTTTTTTGTATATATCTCACCTTTCGAATGGTCCTGCATTATGGTGATTCCTGAACTGCTTAGCTAGAAATATGCACGCTACTGTCTACCTTGCAGCTTGAGTCCGCGACTTCGAATTACTTGACGTATTCGCTATTGCTATCAACAGCTTCTTTTCTTCTTTTGCCTGTGCAGATCGTGTAAAGATGCTGAAGGATGCTCGTGCCTCAGCGGAGGAGGAGCTCAGGGCCTTTCGCCTTAAGGAGGAAGAAAGATTCAAGGTCGAAGTAGAACAGGTGAGGGAGAAGCCGCACCTTATTGCCTGAGTTGATTGCTATGGAGCTAATCTTGCCAACAAAATGCAAAACTGGACAAGGATTCAACCGCTTGTTTTCTTCATTTCGGGTCTTGAGCAGCGTGTGTGCGCACACTCAGCGCCTGGGTCAGGATGACTCCCTGACAAACGAACTCGCAGATAGGACAAAAGCGGAGATTGAAATTATCAAAAAGGACTACGTGGCAAACAAGGACGGAGTACTTGATTTCATCAGCCGCAAAGTCTTAGACGTAGACATTGTTATCGGCGCTAAAAAGGTCGCCATTCTGCGTAGTTACGCAGAGCGTGGAGTCGATCCGTGAGACTTCCAACTTTTCATGGCCTTCTGTCTGTTGCAGAAGAATAATAGCATTTGACCAGCCAAGAAGGGCGGTCGGTTCCGCAATTTAACGGCAGTATAGGTGGCAACTGTTAGCAGCTGAACTCCGTGTTATTTTCGAAAGTGTGGCAACCCGGCACAACACTCCACACACAACACGCGCCTTCACTTTTCAGGACACAATGTAGCACCCAATGAGCCACTCAGCGAGTGAGACTCCAAGGTTGGGGCCTTGGCGACGTATTAAGTCACGCGAGGGCAGCCTTGCCGCTGGGACTGGAGCTACAGGTGTCTAACTAGGTTTTGTACTTTGGTGTGCCGTGAAACTTGTGTTTGCTCTGGACAGAACAGGCAAATCCGTTCTGCCACTGCGTAACAGTGAGAAATCTTTCTCTACATTCGGGTGACCCAGTGAGCGTAGTTAACGCAGATTCGGTAGATGGAAATGACCAAGTGTGGAACGTCATAGCCGAGTTCAAGATATCGTGGAAGCAGTCCTTTCTGTATGTAGCGTAGCTGCCGGATAGCTTTCTACTTTTTTGGGAAGCCATAATTTCCAAGCCTTAACTGAATGTTAAGACGGAGGCTGTGAAAACTTGATGACTCTCTAGCCCAGTTCCTGAAAACGAACAGTGTCTCGGAAATAGCAGGTTCCTGCTACAGTATTTTCGGTCCGTGAGACGGGATGCCAATTTATGTGCCTAAGCGTTCTCACTGGCATTGATTAGCTGCCAGAGAGCAGTTACTGGTCAAGGTCTCGCGCACGCAGCGGCTGTCGTAGCTTCACAAGTGCACAAGAGGAGTCTGTCTTTGTAAATCAGAGGAACCAAGGGAAACAACAGGCGCCATCAGCTGAACTTGCTTTGGGACGTCGAATTTAGACGCAAGCTACTTGTTCGTGGAAGACTGTGTCGTCATCCCTCGTAACAGGTATCAAGGGAAAACAATGAGGCGAATCCGCCAGACTGCTAGTATTGAAATAAGAATGAAGCTTTGTATCCTCCAAAGCTGTCATGACTAGACGTTATCACTGCTGATAAAAAACTTTCTATTGATAAGAATGTACAGATTAACCTCGTTCGGAGGGCATTTCTGGCATTGTGCTTGGGCTGCGCGTTCCATTGCAAGTTCCTCTTGACTGTAAGCAACCCCAGGGGAAATAAAGTCCTTATGTTCCTTCACACGTTTCCTTATCCAAAGACCAACTGTTTTTGTCGTCATGTGAGGTCACTACTTGCTAAGAATGCGTAGCGCTTCATTTCTGTCACCTCGCAAACACACGGCGGCAGTTTCGCCCGTGTTCTCTTCTAGGGGATAAGCTTTTACACGCCTGCCTGAATGAAAGCGTCTAAACCACAGCGTCAAATTTCATAGCAATGCAAATAAAGATAAGCTGTTGATATTTTTAGGGTGAACTACCACGAAGCAAATTATTTTCCGCAAGGCCACCAAGGGGCTCTGTTATCAGCTTTCACGGCTGCAGAGCGGTGTAGCCGAGACAAAAACATAATATCTACTGCTCCCCTGTGAAGTAGCTTAATTTTTCGCTCAGTATATGTATGCAGTAGGTAAAGTAAGCTCCTAGGCAATGTGTTAAACTCACAATGTGCTGGCTTTCGAGTTGCCTCACGTTGTCGATTGGATCTTCCTGTGTTCGCGTATGCACCCGGACATCTTCCGCAGATAAGAGCCTTTTCACTCCGTTGCTTATACTAATCATAAGGAGAACCCTGTCTTGTAGCCTGTGGCAAATTCCCACACTCCACATTGCCACTGCCTAGCGAAAGCGTCAGAAACTTCAGTCATGCCGCCTGTGACAGCCTACAATTGGATAGCTGAACGAGGCAGACACAATAGGAAGAAATTGATTTCCTGCAAAGTCGCGCCCAAGTTATATTCGGATGTAGAAACGTCACTTGTGCCAAGTCTTCAATTTTGTATGGGGGGAGAGGATTGGGCGCTCCCAACGGGCTGTTTGCCGGGACATTATTCTCAGCTGAGCTTGTTGGGACCACCACTTCATGACAGATCAGTCCCCTCATGGGGGACGCGGAATTCTAAGCTTACGGGCAATCTTTTTGTTGACTACCGACGTTACGGCGTTCGGAGGCTTCAAGACTTCCAAGAGTTGAAGCGCTCTCGTGAGGCAAGCCTGTCGTTATGCACCCGCCAGTTTTGCAGAGAAAAAATTCTGAGTCATCGTGTAGAGGACGTGCAAATCCGGCAGCTCTAAGCATATACTACATCCGTGAGCCTCATTCAGCGAGTGCCATATTTCTGTGAGGTTTGAGGTTTCCTTACGGTCTCTTCAGGCGGCAGGAATCTTGTCGTTGTCGCTTGCTCCCCGGCGAACTCTGTCACGCTGTCACTCTGCGCCAATTTCTCGCCTTTCACTGGATCATACAGGGCAAGGTTTTTGTATAAGCCTTCAATCAGCTCTTGCAACAGCACAGCCAAACCAAGCACCAGCTTTCTGTCGAGGGCCAGCCGCATGTAGAATGCTGTGTGTGGTGCAGGCGTTACATGCTAAGTAGCAGCAGGGATGGCACAATCGCGTTGTTCGACCTCGAGGCAGATGACGCATGGAACCTAAATGGGGGGTTTGGCCCAGAGCCAAAGGTCCACCCCGTTGGTTACGTCCAGAGAAAGCCTGACAAGTAGGCGCCTCAACCACGGTAACTGGCCGCAACGGAAAATCGAGTCTACGAAGCTTTTGACGGCACGGTGCTTGATGGAAAGCGAGCGACATCTGCAGTCTCCCTCTTCACTGTTCGTTGTTGTTTCGCCTCCAACAGGCCTCCCAGGCGCAACTTACTCCCTTTGCGCTTCCAGCCAGCGGCACCTAGAACATCACCGAAAGCATGTGTGACAGGCCAGGTCATGAGGAACAGTGTATCTTCAGAGTCCGGGTATAACGGCTCTAGAAGGGCTCATGCAGGTCATTCACGATCCATTACAAGCGTCGAATTCATGCCAGGAGACAACGGTTTGTTCGTTTCTACAGGGCTTGACAAGGTCTTGAAGGTACTACTACAAGAACTTCGTGCCACTGTCCACTGCACATACGGGCCTTTAAGTTCTCATACTCGTGGCGTCTGGCTAGTGCGTGAACGCTGCATATTGGTTGGGTGCCATTAGCTTGCCCTAAAATGCGCCGTGTTGTT